AAAAAAAAACCGGCGACGTAAGAGCAGCGACTTTGTACTCTCAATCCTCCAGGGGTGGGTTTGACGAAGCTTACTTCGGAGACAAAATAAACTGCAATGTTGAGGCTAAAATCACGTCAAAGTGTTCACAGACAAAAAATGAGGCAAGAAGTTCGCAACAGCACGGTGAGAAGAGAGTAAAATGCGCAACTCATTGCAAAGCAGTAAGTGATTTAGTGGAGTTATCATATGGTTTGATGCTACTGATCACAATGGCTTGTTTTAAGTCACCTTTTATGCAAACATCAGTCTGCCCAGTCAGTATTCAGCGTTGTTTAATACACTGATTCCCAGCAATGGGTTGAAAGTGATCGTGATGTGATGCAAACCATTCTGCAGCAGAGATGTGACAGTAGCCCCTTCTCAGACCTTCTTTACGTCGAGATTTATCACGTCCTGCGCCTTCTGAAAGGGCTCGAGACAGCAACTGTAGCAGTGACAGTTGGAACAACATTCCTGAACTCGATTGCTGGAGTGTGGACGAATAAAGCCGCAAAAGCCCCTCTCTCCCGTCCACTGCGCCACCTTTGGGTTCCAGGAAACATTACTAACGCCTCAAGTGCTATCACGCACTTTTAAGGTGCCTAAAGATTTTTTTTTAATATTCTTCCCGATGTTTGCATAGAGAAGTGAAGAATAGACGTAAACCTTCATTCCCACGAAAGCATTCCAACTCCCCTTCTTCCAAGGACAGTGTTCCTATGACTAGCACATTCCTCCTTCTCCAAATGAAGTTCCTCAAGAGGACGCAATTTCAGACCCAATGAGATTTCCAAGAGAGGTCACAGGAGCATCACACTAACTGACGTGGTGGATTCTCGAGTTGCTACATTGAGGGATGACCTCGCCCTTGCACCCTCCTTCAACAATATGACCTTCGGACCAAGCCCATAGCCTCGTAGCCATTTTGTGGATCGGCAGCATATTTGCTACCCCCAGGCATTAGTGCTTCCTTTCACCTCGGAATAAAAAAAAAACTAGAAACCACAAAAGAGGACGGAGAGCAAGCAGATCTCCATTCTCCCCTTCTTATTCTTCTCCTCAGTTTCTCCATACAATTGGCATCATTTTGTTACCCCGTGGAGAACGCAGAAGAGACTTTAACAGCGGCTATTTTAGTTTGTAAGATATCGCACCTAACTCTCCCTCTTAATGGGTTTTTTTGTCGTCATTTTTGACCGCCTCAAAAAAACTATTTCCCTCTCCCTTTTCCCTAATGGTGTTATCAATTAGAAATGACGGAAGTGAAAGTACCCGCCCCACGGCAACACACCCAACTGCTATCTTACATCTGCTCGGATAAATGGGGTTTCCAAATTGACCCCATTAGGCAGAAGCAACGATCTCCTTCTAGGGTGTATAAGGAGTGTAGAAGATTGCACATGTCAGGATAATTTCTCCCACCTGAAGAGTGATAATGATGGGTGAGTGAGTAGATGTAAGGTGATTCTTCATAACTACCTACCCTAAAAATTCAATCCCGCCTCACTACGAATTGAGGTGTAGATATGTTAATTCATGAGAAAGAGGAGAAGGATAAAGCATGAAAGCAATGACAAACAGAAGTGAGAAATTAGGGTGTAAATGGCGTGTTTTGTGATAAAACCTGTCATTAATTAAGCAGCTAATCAACGGACTGGAAATACCGAAGCTGGATAAAGAAGTGCGCATAATTTGCATGGTTTTAGACCATTTCCGAGGTAAAGAGAGAGGAAGCAGGAGGACTTACACTTGAGTCAAAGCTGGCTCCTCCTCAGGAAAGGATGCCTGCGTGTGAAGGGGAAGGAGGAGTAAATAGCCTTTGCAATAAAGATGAGGCCTATTTATGGAGGAGGCTAGAAAGGCAGCAAATCGAACAAACTGAAATGCCACACTGAAGAGTCAAACACCCACAGAAAGCTTTGCTTCAGAATAAGAGGCTAAATGTCAGGGAGAAATGCAATGACACTAGATGAATGCAAGATTTGCAAGATTGAAGCTCCTCTGCCAAAGTTCAACCTTATCACAGTTCATGGAAGGAGTCTGAGAATATGCGTCCAGCATGGACCACATGAAACTCACAGTAGCTTAACTTATTCCCTCCTGAAAACAGTGCAGTATTAGGAATTGGTATTTGGACCACTTTACTGTTGATTTGATAAATAAGTAGCGAGTGCATTTCCTGCAGGGGGTTGACAACCATCACTCTTTAAAATTGACCAACTCCGAGGTCTCGTGGTCCATAAAGAGTTCATGTCTCAAAATGTCAAAATCTACCAAACAAAAGCACCAAAAGACTCCCCTTTCGAAAGTCAACATTAAAACAAAGGAGGTAACTTGCGTTTTGACACAAAAGTGACAAGACTATAATGGATTTAAACAGATTCAATGAAAAGTGAGTGATTAGACTTTTCCGCCTCCAGACAACTTACTGAACTCAATGCAGGTAAAGTAAAAGAAGGCGAGTGAGTAAGGCCTACTCTTCGGTTTAAATTATTCTTTAAGGAAGGAGTGTCGAGACACTCGTCACTACGGGAAGCAAAGAGGTGTCAACATCAACAGACATTAAAACTACAAACTGCTGCTGCTTTGCTTGAAGGCAGCAATAGAATTACCGAGTGCTTGTGCTTCGTAGTTATCGGGGTGGTCTGCATATCACCAGCAGTAGCGGTCAGCAGATCGTCTGCGAGGAATAAGTCACCTGGTTGCTGATTGGCGCACTCACTAGCAGTGATGGCAGAGTTGCCAGACGTCGAGAAGGCGGATACAGCTGAGGGTCGACTGCTTGATGTCCGTTTTGCCAAATATCGACGTGTCTCCCAAGCCGAAAGCGATCGTAGCGGCGAGAATGCAAGAGCAGATAGCAGAAACACCAGCCCACAAGTGTAGTAAGCCCAACTTAACGGATTATTCTCTGACCCTGTCAGGAGATACTGTGGCTCGTACAGAAGTTGTGGAGCAATTTGAATTCCTGAAGCTACCTCTGAGATCCAACCTTAAAAGGAGCACATGGAAATCGTTCCTACTGAATTTACATAAGTAGGCTAGTTGCTTTGTGGTCAGACTCACCCACTATTAGAGGACCAGCGATTGCTCCAGCCCCTTGAAAGACAAGTAGATAGACGAATGCTGGTGTTAAATGATGTACGCCAATTAATTCCACAGCAATGACACTTCGGAGAGATAGAGCAAGAGCTTGAACAAAAAGTAGAAAGAGAGATTATATAAATAGCAACTTAAACAAACCACTAGCTGAAACATACCACTGGTAAGGGTGTGGAGGAAGACCAGCACGTAGAGGATACCACGAAAGAGCACGCAAGAGTAGGGATTATGATGAGACGGTCCTGCTCCCCATGTGGCAAAAGGAATGCAGAGCAGGGAGGCACCACTCACTACCAATGATACAATGTTCAGGACCATTGGATCTGCCAGTCGATGCAAAAGTGAATGTATAAATTGTTGAAGAAGTTTTAAAGGTCCACCGTCCTCTTCATCGTCTTCGCTACTGTCGCCACACGGCTGGATATGACTGGATCCGCTCACGATGTGCTCTATGTAGAAGGCTGTAGGAACACATTCCCTCAGAGAAGCGTTTGGTGTTTAAAAGACTTGAATAATTACATGCAAACAAGTCAAGCTCATCATGCTCACCTGTCTGCGGCTTTTCCAACCACTCATTCCCATTTGACTGACCTTAGTCGATGCATAGATAGGTCAAATTGTGTGGCTCAGTGGACTTTTCTCGCCATCTCCTCCTTGGCCCAGACACCACTCACAATTTTTGCGCCTACTTTCCTTATGTCAGCTATTTATTCATCCATTTCTCTGCTTCTATTCTCCCCTCAACTTTGCCACGCTTTGCGCTACCCAGCTCTCCCCATGCGTTAACATGTGGCACTTGTCTTTCTCTTCAGTCATTTGAACCATTGATACCCCTCTCTATCGGTTCCGACCTTTGTGAGGTGACCCATTCACCTGCGCCTCTTAATCCGGCCGGTATCATACATCCGCTACCCACCTCGTTTGACCACTCCATCGCTCTTGAACATTTATCTACGTAAGATACATCCAAACCACAAAACTACGCAAAAAAACTGACCGACGATCAACGTAGAAATAAGCAACGTCCAACGCTCATCCATCAGTTCACTAGTCAGTGTTACCATCCGATTGCCTGACCAAACCTCTGTCACCCCAGCCGCTCACCTGTCTGTCCTCTTCCTCTGGCTACCTACAACTTGTTAGCATGCCTATCTGTTCGCCCTTTTTTCCACCTCTGCTTCGCCAATCAGCCATTATTTTCCAATCCTCAGTCTCCCAATGTCCCTCAGAACGTCTATTCATTTTTGCCTCCATTGATCCCCTCATCGATTAGTCTAGCGACTTGCCTGTTCTTCTATGTGACCACCTATTCCATGGCTCCCTTCCACGCAACAAATTATAAGACCGTGGTGATTGCGACATTACAACACCGACTGTCAAGAAGATGCCTTGTTTCCCATCTGTCATCTGCTCATCCATTCCTTAACCGGTTGGCCTAGCTATCAACCCGCTCATTTCATTAGCCGAGCCACTCTCATCTCTCTTACTCGGCCCTTCACCATCTAACAAAAACTCAACTATCGGAAGTCAGGCCTAATATCCATCCCCACCGCGTGCCACCTCCCCACCAGTCTGTCTACCAAGTATCACATGTCTACTTGTCTATTGCCCCCTCCCCCCTATCCTCTCGTCAGTCTAAGTGACAACTTTTTGCTCCCCTTTCTGCCTCTATTTCACTTTCGGCCCACTCTTTCACAATCAATTATTTACCACCTAGTTATTCATCTGTCATCTATCCGTGCCACCGCCACTGCATCCACTTTCTTCACCTATCTACACAAGTATATTCAATCAAAACTCACTAGCAATGAGTCTTCCAAGGAGATGAGCAATTCCAACAGCGCATATGATGCTTTTCACACTGGCCAAGTGCTCCGGTACTCGAAAAATGGAATCGGAGCCAACAGGTCGAATCGACTGACTACAGGCAAGAGTTCGACCCTCCAGCGAAACAAACAGCGGAAGCACATGATATGGCATGAAAAATCCTAAAAGATAAGTACAAGAAAGTCATATCCACCAATAAAAACAGTTTTGAAAGAAAACTCCCTTAGAAGTTGTCAGCCATGACAAGAACCTCTTTCTATGAAATACTCATTTCAGGTGGAAAGGAGGAAGACAAGATGACTCCACTTCTCTCACCCACCACCTTCCCTCCTCCATAATGCCGAGCCCCGTGAGACTGCTATCAATTTTTTCTGGCATTAACAATAGCTGTTTAAGCAGACAGCTGTAACAGGTAGAAACTGACGTTGCTGGCAGGTAAGCTCGTTTCCAGGCGCCTTAAGCTCGGTGTCTCAATGGAGAAGGTTTGTCTATTGTACGAGACTGAAAACATCTTTACTCCTATTCGTTTTCCTTTTACAAAGACCTTTTTTTGTTCAAGTGTAACTAGTAGTTGGCATCTCCATCTACTGTCCGTGGCATTTGTGATCGACACTAGGTCGATAGATGGAACATGGACATCTGCATCTGCGATCCACCACCCTATGCAGAGCATAAGCCGTTCAACAAACAATTCAAAAATCGGCTGAGTAGAAATACATGCCTCGGCAGCATAGGACACTCGAATCTATTGAGTCAAGCGATTCATAATTCTTGTAAATAATAATGGACCTTACTGAGTGTGCAAGAAGCACTAATCAACTCACCAAACATGTGAAGTGTGCAGGCTAGAGAAAAGGCGAGAAATGAGGGGCTGCGAAGCAGTGGAAGATCAAGACTATCACTGAGACATGTAAGTAGTACTTCATGGTCCTTCACACCTTTCATACTGCCAGGTGAATGTAAACCTCGAGCAGAGGGATGTAATGTGGTGGCATCATGATCTGTCGTTGACTTTATGCATCCGCTCTTCAGGCTACCCTGGGGGCTTTGTTGAGCCAGATTACATGTCTCGGTCTACAAATGAAATGCAAAAGTTAATGAATCAGATTAGTTGACATGGAACAACCAAAAAGGAGTCACACAGGTTCACAAAGACAATATCCATACTATTTGTTAAGTCAAGTGAGTGAAGACCCACTTTGGTGAGATGACCTTGATGCTCCTGTGGTGCCAGAGTCGCGAGTTTATTACGCCTCAGCTCACGATAAATGGCAGCGCGAATACGTGCCTTCACTGTGGAATCAAGATGAACACGCGAGAGCTCTGAAGTGATAGCTCGATCGGTATTGGGATCAATGTTGGTGATGGAACTAACGTCACCGTCGTAATCACCGCAGTCACCAACACCACCACCCGAGGACTGTGAGGTAGAAAGTGGAATCGCACTTAACGGAAAACACTTGTCATTTGCTCGTCCTTGACAGTCAATTCCCACGTCCACTGTATCCATGGAACCCGCCTACAAATCATTAATGGTGGTATGATGAGAATATTCTCAATAACGAATACCGCTGACCGTTGAAACAAAACAATTTCCAAAGGCATCTGTTGACTTGATCTGTGATAACTCCCAGAAAAGGAGCTACAAAAGCCACACTAAGCAATACCGACTCTTTCCAAGTCACAAGGTAGGATTAGCATTGAACGTACCCGCTGGGGACAAAAAGTTACTCCGTGTTGCGTGGTATGATGTTTAAGCAATAATTGAATGAAATTAATGGAGAGGATAGTTCTTTCAATAACACAAAGTCATCGTACACTCCTCCTTTCTACCTCCAACTTGACAATAAGAAGGAATAGGAATAAAGCTCCACGACAAGGGAACAATCATCACAAAACTAACCCGTGATGTCTTAAAACTATGAATGCTTTACTTAGATTGCTGAGATCCTATCTCTCCGCGTCGACAGTCATGGGCTCCAGCTCCTCCAATGGCTCACCATAGACCTACCTCCCCGCCAATGTCATTACGAGGGTCTTTGTGGACGCTACTGTACGCCTATGTACAGCCAAGCAAAGACTCCGGATATCCTACTCAATCCACAGAGAGCATTCAAGAGAATCCAATAGGCACCTATTGTGCCTTCTAGAAGGGTGACAGTGCAGGCTCATATGGAGCGGTTTTGGATTGAAGGGAGACTTTATTAATACCTCCACGTAGAACGCAATCAAGTCGTACCAAATGGCCTTAGGTAGAGGAGGTAGATATAGCCGTCTGGTTTTTAATAAACGTCAATAATTTGGAAATAATGTTAAGTATAAAGGTAGCTTACCTTGCAAGAATAATCAGAGATACACGGAGTTTGGATGTTGCTGCTATCCAGCACATAGAAAGGTCTATAAAGGGAGTTTTCTGTTCCCACAGTAAGCGTTGTCGTGGTAGTCGTCACCTTGGTAGTACTGGAAAGAGCTCTCGAGCAGACGCAGGGCTGAAGACTTGCTTTTACGCTCTCCTGAACATTCGCATCTGTAGCGCCTTGTGGACTAGAAGGCCAACGTCGAAAAACCTCGGTCATATCAGGACATCGCATGCCCGGAGCAATCACCGCTTGAGCCTCGAGTTTTTGGAGAATTGCGTCGGCAATACGGAACACTCCCGACTTGCTAAAGTCGTGTGGTGGACTGAGGAGAACCACTGGTCGTGGGCTTTGAGGCTTCAAGTGTTAAAAATGCGGTAAAAGTTAGTTCTCTGGATCAATAGCATACAAGGAAACAAGGAGAAGTGAATTCTATGGGAAATGGCCTTAGTGGGAACGGACCACACTTTCCTCTCTCCATACAAAGTATCAATTTTGAACCAAAAAAAAAAAAACAAAACCACCGAGGTTCCATTAGAGAGAGGAAAGCAAAAACTCTTTCTGTTCCCTTGGACAAGTGCTTGAAGCACAACATTTTATTGCTTACTTAATGCGACACAGGAAAGTCATTCCCATTAGAGCTTTTAGAGACTGGAAAGTCTGACCAGCCACACCCCGTTTCAAACACAGTTACGTTTGTTAAATGTGAATCTTCGGACTGAGGTTAATAAGTAATAAGAGAGGAAAGCCACACAATACGTGACACAAAGTTTCGGGTTGCCTCTCCTCTAAGTGACTGAAAAGTTCGAGGTATCTATCGCACTAAACGAGTTGATCTGAATTAAATGACCTCCATCTACAAAAGAATGACGTCAAAATATCTTTGGCATTTTCCTTTCAAATTCTAATGATTTAAGTCATCAAGACAAGCTTCCATGACTTTTTGGTTAGGAGCTCAGCTAATAAAGTGCTGCTGTTTGCGAATTCGATGGAAATAATTAACACGGAAATGAAAACCGTTCGAAAAGCCCACCTAGCAGGCTTTTTGA